TATTTGAATTATATCGGGTGAATATATTTTCATCCTAATGTTAATGTTTACACCGAGACTTCAAACCTAGTTCCCTCTTTGCTAAACTTAAATGTGTTATCCACTGGGGTATTAAGTCCAGATGGTTACTAGTTCGCCAAACCAGCATGAATTTGTTGTGTAATCTAATCTCCAATATCATAAAGTGATTATACTTCCAATTGTTGAAAAAAGAATCAGCCTAAACAAAATTACTCAACAGATTTTATATATCATGATCATAAAGACACTCAAATGTTTTGTATTAGATATCGTGTGGAATTTCGGGTTAGTAGGTTAAAGAAGTCCGAAACTTAATTGAATCAACTGATCAATGCTCTTTAGTTTCAGTTAATATCATTCTATGAAGGAAACTAATTTTTCGAGGATCTTGAATTATGTTTACAGTCTTTATAATTTTAATAGAATGAATAAAAAGTACAAATATGTTTTTGTAAACTAAATGGCTGTGAACTTGTATGTTAATAGAAAGAACCAGCTTTATGGTGTGAATACATATTTTAAAAGTATGTAACGCTATGCTTCTGGAATTCAATTAAAAAAGGTTTTTGTATCACATAGGGACTGTAGAATATTTGTCGTAAGTTATTTCTATAAAAATGTATAATTATGAGAATAGAAGACTTCAGAGCAGTTTTATTCTCTGTCGATATACATCTTATAAACATAGTCATTTGTAGTGTTGTATTATAATTATTTCCTACCAGTATAATGATTGAAATCTTCCAAATACTTCAGTAATACATCATTTAATTAAAAAAAAGTAAAACGTTTGATTAAACAAGTAAAGTACATTGCACTAACAACTGACTAGTAAACAGTACAACAAAATGACTAAATATTTTCAGCTTATTACAATACATTCAAAAATACAGAATGGCGTGCATATTCATCTGTTTAAGGTTAATACATTTTAACATATTAATTTAATAATAAAAGTACAATATGGTTACATAAAAATTACCAAACTAAGGGAATAAGTTTCTTCCTGCTCTTTACATAAAAGATGAAATAGCTATTGAAAATTTGTGTGAACTAACATTGAAGTGATGGGATGGTATTCGTAAACTGAAAAGTCTCCTTGATGAATAGTATGATAGAGTTAGTTCGTGGAATCCCTTGGATATGGTCGTTGATTTGACGAACAAGTTATAAGTGTGTTAAGTTATCGATATATAAATGAAAAGAATTCCTGTTGACGAAAATATTAGGATCGGAATAGAGAACTAACTTCAAAAATTAAATAAATATTACTTTTACATTTAAAATTACGAAGTGATTTTCGATAGACCAGCATTGAAAACCTTCAAACACGGGATGGCCATGTCATCCTAGTATGAGACTGCTTAGCAGTGCGGATCCACGACCCCGGAAGCAGGAATGGAGCCCAGGACATTTGGTTTTGCGCATGTACGCTTAATCTCTAGACCACTGAGTGTGAATGTCTAGCTTCAGTCAATCCATCATCTTGCATAACTTTTCATCCGTTACCTGTGTTGAGTAACTGTTTCAAACGCGACACGGTTGAACTCTGCTGGTCACCACTTCTCACTAAAACTCCAGGAGTTAAATCTTGAAGCTTATCACTAGTGAGCACATGATTGTTATTAGATGGGAAAATTTGTGGAGATTGTAGTATTTTCACGGTTTAAATCATAATAAATATTATTTCCGTTCGTTCTCATTAAAATTAACGAGAAGAAATAGTAAGTTCAGCTTCTTATACTTTTTCAATTTAAAGGTGGGAAAGACTTTGTGAAACCCTGATCCGAATATCATTGCAAATAAATTGACTTACGCATCGAATATTAAATAAAAAACATTTTAACTAAAATTTTTATTATAAGCAAAGATGGAAGATGGCTAGCTGCGGAATCCAGGATGCACGCCACGTCCTATTTGGGACTCATCAGATGGATATACCTGCACCCGAGCTGATATTCACTCCGAGACTCAAACCCAGTATTGTCGAATTCAAACGCCATCGCATTATCCATTTAGCTACTGAGTCCTGATAGTTACTCGCTTGTGCAATGGGCTGAAGTTTAAATTCATTTTTTCTATAGTTTGTTTGATTCTTCCCATTAATGTTTACGACTGCAATTGATCAGTTTCTTATTGGCATATGGTGGCTGGCAGTGGAATCCAGGACGCACGTTTTGTCCTATTTGGAACTCTTCAGCTGTATGTACCATCCATCTTTGCTTATAATACTTGTAACTTAAGACAATATCGAGGCACATATACCAATAAGAGACGGATCAATTACAGTCCTAAACATCAATGGGAAGATTTAAACAAATAATAAAAAATGAATTAAGATTTGTGTATTTAAGAAAATCTTATATTGCATTCTAATCAAGAGTAGAATATGTTAGGATAAAGTATTTCAGTGTAATTATTTGGATTAATATCATTACTGTTATCTTCTTATGGTAAATTATTCCTCGTGAAGTTGATGATGTGTTTATGTTCAGCAAGAAAATTAACTTTGGCATACATACATGGCTTAATACCATAAAATTGAAATCAGTAAACCAATACAGTAATTAATTCTTCTAAGAAAATAATCCAAGTCATCGGATGCATCGGATTCTAAAACATTATGAGCTTTTGTAATGTGTGCACAATTTTTGAAATCAAACTAAATTTCAGACAACATAACAGAATATTTGAAAAAGACACTAAGCTATTAGTTATTATGATAGTAATTTTAAGATTAATAGTCCATTGGTAGTCAGGGGCGACTGTTGTATTATTTGATGTCCGATTTCGATACTTATACACCGTTTTCCCATACATGAGTCCAATGGCTATTCGGGTGAAAAGAGTAAGAATGATAAAGGAAGTTTATTGACCAATCCAATCGTTCTGTATGTATACTCCCATAAATGCGTATGTGTCTGTCTCTAAGAAAATTAAATCACCAATAGTGTATATCTCATTCCTAAAAAATGTAAAAACTTCAGTGGCCAATCGCGTGGAACTGTCATTTGCCTGATTTCTGATTGACTCAGTGTATCATCTTGCCCTCCTGAAAAACAAGTCTGGTTTCTCAGAGTCAGTTGAAGGCGTTAAGGTTGGAGTAGATTACAGTAATCATGTTTATAATGTATTGATATCGCTCATACTTGAAATATGTAGTAAGAAAAAACCTCTAAATTCCTGGGTTAAAGTAAAATATGAAACAAGTCATTTGCTTCAACTGTTGATTAAAATCACAATCCAGTATAGTTAGTGCATATGTTTCTTCTCTCAATGTCAAACCGAAAATTATTTATAAAAGTGTTTGTGAAATGAAAAATGTGAAGATATTGAATAAAATTGAGCTCTGATTTTGATTTGAACTGCTGTAATGATGCTTAAAAGTAAGAAAATAGGCTACAACCATATTCATATGATTATCAACTGTCACTCTGACTACCATTAGTGGTAATAGATCTCTCACAGTCAAGTTTAATCTGTTTATTGGGGCAAATAACCACATTGCAGTTTTCCGTAATTGTTAAGTAGTATTTAGGACTACCTTATTCGATAATGACTATTTTTGAATATTATATAGTTGAGATCATGAGTCAATTGAAGCTGGACTACCATGGAAAACCTGGAAGCACTGGACGGCCAACTAGTCCTATTGTGTGACTGCTCAGCAGTGTGCATCCACGACCCCACCTAGCGAGATTCGAAACCAGGACCTACCAGTCTCACGCCAGAGCACTTAACCACTAGACCACTGAGCCGGCATCCAACGGTGTTAATGTCTAGCTTCAATAGTGCACTTTTTTCTCACTATTCGTGACTTATTAAAACTCCTTGATATTAATTTTATTTAACGAGAAAGTTTGGAGTTATTCTAGATTGCAGAAATGACTTGTTTAGTGAGTCCGATAAACGTAAAACCTACATTTAAGGTGTTTTGAATAACTTTCAATAGCATAACTTTCGATATAATCAACTTTATATATAAAGACAATCAAGTGTACTTATTTAAATATATAAATTTCGATAGCGTGATAAGAAGACGAAGATTATTATAATTATGTGATATAAGAGCGCAATACATTTCGAACAGTCTGATCACACATATACTTGTTAAGAACATTTTTATATGAAAATAAAAAGTCAACTAGACTGAAAATAGGGGGAGGGATTGAGCTGCACTGTTTGGGTTGTCACGTGGAAGTCTGGATAATGTCTGGTTCTCCTGAAAACCAATGCAAAATTACTGCATTCACCAATTTAAATGTATGTATGTGGTCACACATACATAGGGAGGAGCATCGTGATCTGAAAATTAGGGTGGGTGAACATGTACCGAAATGGTTGCAGGAACAAATAGAATCAAATGACCCAATAAGAGTAGAGGATAAACATCCATCATCCTCTATTTCCAAACATGTAATCGAAACAGGCCATAATATTTATCTTAACTCGGCTTTTGTTGTGTTGTATAAAAGTGTAAAAGGGCGTATATTGAGGTTTATTGAAGCCTTGGCCATACGAGAATTAACCCCCTCCTTTTGTGTTATCAAAAACAATTTGTTCTCACCTTAAACCTACCCTGATAATATTAGCTTATTATCCAGAGTAATTAGGTTTCAAATTGTTGTCACATTATTATTAATCGGAGGGGTTTTTGTGGAGAATTTAGTATTTTCATAGTTGAAATCATGGGTCAATTGAAGCTAGACCACCACCGAAAACCTGGAAGCACTAGACGGCCGTTTCGTCCTATTATGGGACTCCTCAGCAGTGCGCATCCACATTGTTATTAGCCTTGTCTCCTCTTACCCCCATTTCCAGTCTAGTTGACTTTTATTTTCATATATAACTGTTCTTACCAAGTATATGTGTTATCAGGTTGTTCGAAGTGTATTGCGCTAATATCTCATCAGAGAATTCTGATAACCTTCGTCTTCTTAATTACACTATCGATAATTTATCAAAAGGGACTAATTACTTTAAACATATAAATTAATTAAAATCCAAAATTTTTTACTTTGATCCATTTGAGTAGTATGATTCAATTTTCTATTTAACAATTTCATAATTGTTAACCAAATTTCATTTGAATTTAATTTTTCAATTTCATTATTATAATTTTTATATAATTTAGTATTTAAATTAATTTGTAATGGATTTCTTAAATCTAATGGTTTATCATTATTTATTGTATATAATGTATTTAAATATAATGGATTATAATTGAATATTGAATCTGTTAATTTATGATAATGTTTTCTTATATTACTTTGTATGAATAGATTATTTTGTTTTGAGCATAGTTTCTCTTTATCATATAAAGATTTGATTGGTAATACCGATAAATGAGATGATGATATTGTTGGTAGGGATAATGCTGTTGCTGTGGATGACGATGATGATGATAAAGATAAATTTGTTAGATAATTATTCTTTTTAAGAAGATGGCTATCATGAACAATTTGATTAATTTCATTTGATGGAGTTAATGGCTGTAAAATATCATTGATCTTATTTTCAAAGTTATTATTCTGATTAGTAACACAAGTTTTAAAATGATTAAATGCATAATTACTATGAATTGTATTCATTGCTTTAAAAATTTTATCATGAAGATTGTCACAATCTTGACTATTATTATCATTATCACCATTAGTTTCTGCTTGATGTGAAAAGTTTTCTGTATTTATTGTTTTAAATTGAATTGGATTTATGATTTTAGGCGGTAAATTTTTATTAGAAAATTCATTTTTTAATAATTTTGATTTTAAATTTATTAAATTATTTGTATTCAATCTATTCATAGATTTTGTTACATGCTGTGAAGTTTTCTTTTTAGATCTTATAGAAGATCCTAATGTAGAAATTCGTTTACGATAATTATTCCATAGGGTATATTTTTGATGATTTGTAGATAAATTAGAATAAAATACAATAGGATTATGTACTGTATCTAGTTCATAATTCATTTTATCATTTCGGTAACAATGACATTTCATTTTATTGTTTATTCGATTAATGGTTGAATTATGTTTTAAACTTTCCAATTTACTTTTATGATAATCTTGAACAAGTTTAAATGTATCATTGCATGTAATTGAAGATGATGATCTAGGTTGATATTTGAATTTCTTCTTTGGGCATGGCTCATTTAGTTCTTGTCTAGGTGATTGATGTTTTAACAAGGGTGAAATATCAGAATGAAGGGTAGTATCTCTACAGGAATTTGTATTCATAGAAGAATTACCGTTATTAGTGACATCAGTATTGTTATTCTAGGGATAAATGGAAAAAGAAATATTGGCTAAATTAATTGAATTTCAAAATTTAGTAATAATAATGTATATTACAGATCTTCCCTTCTATAAATTTATTTCACAGATCCACTTTAGCCATTTACAACTAATTCTATACGATTACAAAAAAGTGTTCATACTTTATGACTATAATATACAGAAACTGTTCAGCAAGATTGGGAATACTATTAAGCTAGTTAAATGTAATAAGTGTAGCAGAATTCTAAAAAAGGAGCGGTTCATAAAGATAGTCCTCTTTAGGTGAAGATTTACTGTTATGAGTTAATTAGTGATAGTTACAAAAACAATTGATTAATGGTATAGATTAAGAAAATCTAATATTAAAAATAAGAAAGTAGAAAAATTAATAAATGATGTAGTGATATACGATATTACCTAAGTAATTGTTGGAAACTGAGGTTATCACAATTATTTGAAGTTGGTAATATTGTTTTCTAAATGGATAAAAATGATCCAAACCTTTTTGTATTGATGGACTTAAAACTCAGTGAACAAGGAACTGTTTACATATCGAATATTTTGAAAATTTTTGAAACATCAATGTTTTGTTTTCTATTAGGCAAATGGCGAGCTGTTGTTGCCATATTCATTTTGTCTTTAGTTTTTAAATCTCTTAATAGATCCATCTAATAACAAATTTTGACACGTACAAATAAGCTAGTAGACACCATCGGAGGTAACAGTAAGAGGGAATTTATATGATTCTGGAATATCTAAACAAACAGCAAGTTTTGTATGATCATAAGCTGCAGTAACTAAAGTATTAAAATTGAATGAATTTATTTTATACGTCGAAAATAGCATACTTCACGTCAATGAAATCTTTTCCTATCCAAACTGGAAAACGGATCATTGCACGATACTCTTAATAAGCTAGTATACTACTGCCGCTACACAGATGGCACATTAACTATCTGCTACAAAACAACCAACTTACGACAACTCGATAAGTTTTGTGTGAAAAGAAAAAATTAACAATAATATAACATTTCTTGTCGTCCTACTCTTCAGGAGGTCGGATGGTTCGGGAGAATGAAATGTGTTTAAAATAGAAACCTGGACAGAGCAATCTCTCCACTTCTATAGCTTATCGGTTTTCTAGTAATCTACCAAAAGGTGCAAGATTATGTTCACGCTATACAGTTGAATCACTTGGCACCAATTCTAATTAACCTAATTTATGTATACAAAAGAGATAGATTCAACATCTTTGTTTATTTTGGTCTAGATTGGGGTCGTTTTATTCCTAAATTCAATTTTATCCTTACCCCTTCATTATGATTTGCACTCTCTTTCATGACATTTTTCCTATACCAATATATACACTCGTCTTTTTTGTTTTACACAGTGTTATTGTCTATAACTATTTCTACTGTTATTATTATTATCATTGTTGTTACTATTACTATTTCAAATAAGCACAATGGAACAATTCCCATTTTGTATAAATTTTTTACATAAAATTTTAATAATTAGAACACATTTTCTTACCCTTTATGTATAATCTATTCTCAACCTTACCAATAACTTCATTTTAATTTGTTAGTACTTTGTACTATTTAATCAACGTAAACTTTGCCACTTTTAACATGGATGAATTCAACGTTGAGTCGATTAAATATAGACCACTATGGAAAACCCGAAATCATCGGACGGCTGTTTCGTCTTAGTATGGGACTCCTCAGCAGTGCTCATCCGCGATCCCGCACATGGGATTCGAACCTATGACTTTCAGTATTGTACACGAACGCTTAACCTCAAGACCACTGAGCCAGCATCCAACGGTGTCAATGTCTAACTTCAACGTTGATGATTTATCTCTTGTAATACAATAATAATAATTGTTTCGCTGAAGAGGTTATTGAAAATGATCGTTCGCTTTAATACTCTTTGTTTTGTTTTTTCATTATTCTTTGGGAATTTTATCTGATTACTTATCAATTATTTCTATTTAGGAACTATTTTTAATGAATTATATAAAAAACTATGCAAAATAATATTGAAATATCTTTGGAATGTTTTTAAATGAGACAATTGAAATCGTTGGTGATATTTTAAGGATCATAATTATTCATCTCCTATTGGCATATGTTGGTCCCAAGTGTATTGACTGGAAATTACCCCCGAATGCCCTGGTACGGCCGAAAGTGGGGAGAGTCCGCTCTCCCTCTCTAAGTGCTCTCATGTGGTCATGCGTATATAGCTTCTGCCAGGTAAGTCCTACTCACTGCTTTCTCTTGGCATTATTGTTGTTTACGAAATAGAGAAGACGAAAGCGAATGTTCGGCGCTCTAACCTGGTTGGTGGACACGGCGAGTCCACCTAGGGGAGTTGGAAAACCCTGGTTCCAAACCAATGGTGCACATGGGCTCTAGTATCCTGAAGGAACAAATGACGTATGAACCAATTGTTGGTCACCTGCTATTATGAGACTGCATCTCCTCACGATGCTCCACTGTCTTATGGATCAGATATTTAGGTCAAAAGGGAGTGGGTCCCTAAGAAAACAACCTACTTCAGTTTGGGCACCTGGGCATTATCATAGCTTTCATACAAATCAAATGAGATTTGTGCGGCGCACATATATCTGATGCCCCTTTGTACCAATATTTATGTGTTTCAATAAATAAATAAGTCAGAGATATATTAATAAATTTAGTTAGTTGTTAGTAATGAAATACAGGACATACGTTTCATCTTACTTGAGACTCGTTAATTGGATATACTTGTATCCTAGAGTTATTCACCAATTATTTCCATGATTATTATTCTAAAAAAATACTTTTACTAATGACATAACTGAAAGTTTACATTCATTTAAACAAGTATTATAGACGATGTACTTATAATTTAACATAAGAAAAATTTATTTTTATCAAATGTTAAGAGAATATCTTACCATTCGTTGTTCATTCCGACATTGAAAGGGTAAATCAATCATTGTATTATATGATGAATGTTGTCTTTTATTTTTTATTTTTGGTCAATCTTTCTCTTAATCTTTTGACTGATATTCTTGTGTAAACAGGAGAATTTTAATAATTTTTTCTTGTTACATATAATGAACTGGTAAAATGATCCGTAAAAGGTACATTATTATTAATTATTCAGATTATTTATACTCATAATGTAGATAAGCAATTGTTCAGATAAATATTACAATATACATATGTAAGTTAATTTTTCACCGGAGAATTCAGATGCTTATTTATATAGTTTCATGTGTATCATTCAAATTTCCTTCATTCTATGTGTAAATGTTTCACGATACTAAATTAAAAAAACAAAACAAAGGAAACTATATTACTTAAATACTAATGAAATAAATTCCATAGTATCTTTTGTGTACATATCACGTGTTTATTTGTTTATATATTTTGACTTTTAATATAAAGTTAACTGTATAATTGAAATTGGAAAGTAAATTCTCTATAGTATTGATAACAGTATTAAAATAGTTTTAATGCTAAAAGTACTATTAACAGAAATGTTTTTTGCATTTCAGATTATATATACGTATATATATATATCTGTGTAATACCTGTTGAAGCAAATGAACAACACTTTTAATGAAAGAATTACAATCCACAAGTTAATTATTTAAAAATTTGAGAAATTTAAGTGAAATTATGTTAAAGAGTAGTCACTTGATCTGCAAGTGTAATGACTGTATATTCCAAAAGCAAATATAATGTATATGTATTTAACTCTCTTTGTTGTTGTTGCTGGTTAAATTGGGTAATTTGAAATCAGAAGTATATAGCGCAATATGAAATTTTTATGTTTTATAACTCTTGCTTAACTTGATAAATATACTGTATAGAATGTAGATATAATTTGAATGGATATAATAATAATGTCTAAGTCAAATAACTGTAAGTTTACTGAGGTGTTTTAGTAACATACATTTTGATATTCCGTATTATCACTGTGTATAATTATTCCTTTCAGACAAGTTTGTTCGAAACATATATTAAATCGAATAGTAAATATAGTTACAGATTATTATATTTATCTATATTATCAAGTTAGTAACAGTACCAGAGAAAGATGTTTATAGAAAATTTAATCTTTACAACAATATATCTATCATAGGAGTCTTGTGTTTATTTCAGTATACCTCATATGAAAATGTATAGTCATACATACTTACACAGTTGCACATTTTCATAAGTGTTTAGTTATTTTTCTACCAATTAAACAATAAATGAATAAAGTGAGAGAAATACATTTTGTGTTGGTTTAGGAAATAGAGTTTTGAATCCTGGTAACCTAACAAGTACCCTGGTCACTATAACACTACAAATCTATATATGTGAATAAACGATACCTGGCATTGATTGCATCAGCAAAAGCAACTTCACCATATGTAAAAGTATCATGAAAAGGGAGGAAATTATATGTATTTTTTATGCCTTGAAAAATAAACCGACCGAGGGAATCTACAAGTAGAAGATAGGAAATTTTCTAATGGGGGAGGGGATAAAATTAAGAATTTTACAATTTCATCCAATTATTTATCTTTTTTTTCAAGTATCTCTTTCTTTTGAATTGCTAGTAACTGTGAATTTTGTAATTTCTACATTGGCAAGAAAAATAGAATGATTATGTGTATTATTTAGTTGCTGTTCTGCACCAAAACTGTGTAGGCGAAAAAGAAACAGGATAGGAAAAAACATATGTAGGTTAAGGAAAAAAAGATAGATTAATACAAAAGTTTGTGCTAACAACAATACAAAATCACATAAAATGTATTGAATAAATGATAGTAATATGTAAACTTGCATGTTCATATTAATTGTTTTATTGTAATTTCAGTTTGAAAATAAAAATTCTTATTTGTTTAAATCTAAATAGATGGTAAATTTTCTTTCTAATGTTTACAAACTCAGCAGGTAATGGAATATTATTCATTTTAT